TGGAAGCGAGCGGGGCAGACGCCGCCGACCTCCGACGGCGCCCAGAGCGGTTGCTACGCCGCGGTACCTGCAGAGAGTACGGCGCGCTGCTGATCGCACCGCGCGCGGGGGCCTGGACACGAGCAAGGCAGCGAGCGTGTTTCGGCGAACGCGCAGAAGAATGCGAATGTGGAGCCGAAGGAACGGGCCACCACAGAGTGCGGCAAAACTGCGGCGCCCGAGACGGCCGCGACACCCCCCGCAAGGCGCACGAGCTACAACGCCAAGCTGAAAAGGGTCACCATTATACTCCAGCTTGCTCGTTACGAGGCAGCGCGCCGCGATCATGGTCGGTACCGCCAGAGTGCGACACGGGGGAGGAGGTCAACGGCATGGGAGACAGCATCCACCACGGACGCATCGCCACAGAAGACGGAACACCAATCATGGCGTACGGCGACGGATCTGGAGGCACAGAGATGCAGACGCTGCGGCTGGGCCTGGGTAAGATTGGGCGGAGATGACATGGGCATCGCTGCGGGCAAGTACGGACCCTTTCCAGGGCGACGCCAACGCCGATACATCTGCTATGTCAGACCCCATCTGGGAGGCTTCTACCATGGGGGGATAGCATGGCCCGGGCCATGACATTCCCCAGGTTTCCTGGCTCCCTCTTCTTCCTTCGCTGCGTCCCCTGGTCGCAACCGCTCGCGCTACGCGGCGCTTAGTAGAGGAGACGAGAGGAGGAGGAGGAGGAGGAGGAGGAGGAGGAGGAGGAGGAGGAGGAGGAGAAGGAGGAGGTCCAGGAGCAGGAGAATCAGGAGGAGCAGGAAAAGGAGGAGGAGGAGGGGGAGGGGGAGGGGGAGGAGGAGGGGAGGAGGAAGAGGATGAGGCGGAGGAAGAGCAAAAGGAGGAGGAGAGGAGGAGGAGGCGGGGGAGAGGGAGCGCGGGGGAGGTAGCCCTCGGCCGTCTCGCCTTCCTCCCTCCCTCCCTCCCTCCTTCCTCCTCTATCCTCCCACGTCTCTTATCGTTTGTCCTTCCCTCTCGCTCTCCTCCGTATTCCTCCCTCCCCCTACTTCCTCCTGCTCTTCCGGATGTTTGTCCCCCGCCGCCATTGCTACTGCTTCCGCCGCCACCTCAATCGCCGCCTCCGCCGCCACCTCAAGCGCCGCCCCCGCCTCCGTCTCCGCTTCTCCCATTCGTCGTCACACAGATGGGGCTCTACCACAAGAGACCTTCCACAAGAAACCCAACCCTGAGACCCCAGGACGTCCATCTATTTGTTTGTGTTGGAACGTCACGCTCTCCATCGCAAAAGCATCGAAACCCAAGAAACCCAGGGCACCCTGGAGGCAAGCAGGGCGTTTCTTACCATGGGCCCCCACTGCACTCGTGGTCGTGACAATTTTCTCGCATCGTGGTCTGACGCAGGCACGCGGAGCTGTCGGTTCGCGCCGGCGGTAGCCCGAGGAGTTCACGAGCCGTGCTCCGCCTTCCCAGGGCACACACGAGGCGCGCGGGTGCGCCCCTCCTCTGGGCGGAGGCTGTTGTTAGGTTCGCAATCGTGGAGACTTGGTTTGGCGCCCTAAGTTGTCTTCTCCTTTGGTTGGTGTCGGTAGCGTTGGCTCGTGTGCTGTTTGACTTGGTTAGTGTCCTTGTCCGTCAGCGAAGCCCAAGTCCCCATGACTGCGAGCCGAAGTTGCTGAAAATGAGGAAGCATGGAGGCCAGAAAGGAGTGGGAAGGGGAGGAGGCGGAGGAGGGCGAGAGCCGGAGGGAGGAGGGCGAGAGCCGGAGGGAGGAGGCTTGGTGGCGAACTCGCTCGACGTTGGCAGCTTCTTGGCAGCAGCCGTCCGGCATGGAGTGACGCGGGGTGGGCCAGTCTCACCCATCTCGTGTGATTCTTCGGATGCAACTCCTGGGAGGTCAAATTCTGATTTTGCCCTTGTCCGAAATCCGGCTTAATCCCGCTTCATCCAGCCTAATCCCGCGGAATCCCGTTTCATCTGGCCTGATTCCGATTCATCCGAGGCCCACTACGGCGCAACAGCCCCCCACTGGGGCGTAATCCTCTTTGATCCTTCCGACGAAAACCTCCCAGCAGTTGCCTCCTGATGACTCTGTGGCCTACGCCGCACAGCCGACCCTGTGAGGCGAGACGGTGGGCCTCGTCGTGTGGGGGCTCCGCGTGCCGCGTTGGGGGGCTCCGGGGGGCCCTTTGTTCAGCCGTGTTTTGGGTCAGCACCGAGCGTTCGGTGGCCGTCCGGGGTCTCCAGTCGGAAACTGGAACCTATACATTACCAGTGGCGGGCTCCCTTTCAATCCTAGGGCTTTTCGAGGGTCGGTGACGACGTCGCGGTGGTGTGGTGTATACTTTTTCCCCGTTTCCCCAGGGAAACAACGACACATGTATACACCAGGACTTTCGAGGGCTGCTGGTGGGTCCTGCGGAGTGAGGCACCGCGCGGACCTGAGCGGGACCTCGCCGTCCCTGGGGGGCTGCGATTTGCGAAACTGTCGCCACTTTCGAGGGCTGCTGGTGGGTCCTGCGGAGCGAGGCACCGCGCGGACCTGAGCGGGACCTCGCCGTCCCTGGGGGGCTGCGATCTGCGAAACTGTCGCCACTTTCGAGGGCTGCTGGTGGATCCTGCAGAGTGAGGCACCGCGCGGACCTGAGCGGGACCTCGCCGTCCCAGGGGGGCTGCGATTTGCGAAACTGTCGCCACTTTCGAGGGCTGCTGGTGGATCCTGCAGAGTGAGGCACCGCGCGGACCTGAGCGGGACCTCGCCGTCCCTGGGGTGCTGCGATTTGCGAAACTGTCGCCACTTTCGAGGGCTGCTGGTGGGTCCTGCGGAGTGAGGCACCGCGCGGACCTGAGCGGGACCTCGCCGTCCCTGGGGGGCTGCGATTTGCGAAATTGTCGCCACTTTCGAGGGCTGCTGGTGGGTCCTGCGGAGCGAGGCACCAGGCAGATCTGAGCGGGACATCGCAATCCTTGGGGGGCTGCGAGCCTCACGAATGCCGCTCGCAGAAGTAGATGCGCCCATGTCACGTCATCACCTCCGTATAACGTCTCCCAAGCTACTCATGCCCCGCATTGCGCAGGGGTTGGGTACGTCGCCAGGGTATTTTTGTTCGTATTTTTTAGTTCTCGTCGAAAATCCCCCTGGTAGGGGGACAGGCCCGACCTAAGCCTAGGGAGCGCGAATCTGGTGCACTGTATCACCACCCACCAAACCACCCCAACCCAACCCGAAGGCTCAGATTTACCCTCGATTTCCAGTGGGGGGGGGGTCGGGAAACATCGAAAAAACACGCGTGGAACCCTTACCCCCCCCAACCCGAAATTCGGGTCTTCGGGTTGGGTTGGGGTGGTCTGGTAGGTAGTCACTGTACGCAGGGCCCGTGGCCCCGAGGGCGCGCGAGCGCACGGTGTGCTTTGTGCTGGGCTCCTGCGGGCCTCGGGCGCCCGCCGGCCCGTCGTGATTCCTCGCGAGGGGGGCGGGGCCTCGGGGGCCCCGAGCCTGCCGCACCCTCGCCGGGAGGGAAAAAACACACACACACACACAGACACAGACACAGACACAGACACAGACACAGACACACACACAACACACAACACACAACACACAACACACAACACACAACACACAACACACAACACACAACACACAACACACAACACACAACACACACACAACACACAACATACAACACACAACACACAACACACAACACACAACACACAACACACAACACACAACACACAACACACAACACACAACACACACACACACACACAGACACAGACACAATGGATCGTCGATTCTCCAGAAGACATGGGAGACGCTGGGAAGGGGGGGGGAAGACAGCAGCCCAGAGCATATGCGAGAATGTAGGGGGGTCCTGTCAGCTGTGTGTCTTCTTTTTGTGTCCCAGGGCCCCTTCATCTTACGTGTCCCAGGGAGTCTGCCGCACTCGTAAGTCGGGCCTGTCCCTCTACAGGAGGAATATTTTAAAAAATAGTCAAACAATAGTCCGGGGACGATTCTCTTACTCTTTTCGACCATCTTGGAGTATTTTTGGGGTATTTTGAATTTTCGTCCAAGATCCCCCTGTAGGGGGGACAGGCCCTACCTGACCGTACCCTCACGTGTCCCAGGGAGCCCCCAGGAAGTCAGGCCAGTTCAGGGCATCGCAAACATGGATCAAGGGGATGCGGATTAGCGACGAGCCCCGTCCCCATCGGAAATCGCGGACTTCCGCCGCCGAGCGAGGCGGCACCGGCCGCATTTTGGGGAGGGCCCCCCCCCGATCCATGGATTTGGCGACCGCGTCCCAAATCCATGGATCGTTAATCCATGTTTGCGCGGCCCCGACCAGTGAGGTGATAGGGGGACTACGGTATTCGGTCTCTCCCCCTCGCGCGGTCTTCAATCATGCCAACGGTGGAACTAGTACTTGGCGCAGGTGACGGGACAGCCTGGTCCTCGTTGCTTGTTGGCCCCATAAGGGGGCCAGCAGATTTCAGACGGACGGTTGTGGTCTTTTAAAGGGTTTGCGTGAAGGGATGTCGTACTTTTCGGACGACGGGAGGGGATGCTTTTCGGAAGAACAACAGGTTTCGCTGCGCCACACTTGGTGCGAAGGCTCAATTGTTGTTCAGGATGGGCAGCCGTGGTGTTGCAAAGGTCAATCCCCCTGAACAGCGTCTCTCCGTGGTGAATGCCGAGGCTTTCCCATCTGCTCCTTAGGCGATGCTTAAGAAAACTTAAGTTTTCGGCCAGGGTCTCGATTATTCTTAACGTTTCAATGCAAATCCCAAGATTTGAATAGAAATGTAGGGCTTTTATTCAAGTTCTGAGACTATGAATTTCTTAACCCATGATTTCTTAAGCATTTCGCAGGGTGTACTCCTTTACTTCCCCACTTCACCATCTCTTTTCTCCTCGGTCTGCGTCCCCCCGCCCACCTCTTTCCCCCCTCGCATGTGCCACGCGTGGCCAGGTGTGCCTGCGGCTCATGGCGTCGCTGCTGCGCCACACCCTCGCGCCCGCGACGACGCTGGAGGTCGCAGATTTGCACCTCCTCCTCCTCCTACTCCTCCTCCTACTCCTCCTCCTCTTCCTCTTCCTCCTCCTCCTCCTCTTCCTCCTCCTCCTCCTGTTCCTCCTCGTCCTCCTCCTCCCTCCTGTTCCACCTCCTCGTCCTCCTCCACCTCGTGTCCGCGCTGGGGACCGCGACCGTCGCGGGCTCCCCTCGATTCCAGCTTGGATGGTCTCGGGAGGCGCCCCCGGTCGGTGGGGCAGACTCAGCGCCTGGGGGCTCGTTCTCAACGCGACCAAAACCAAAGTGTGGCTCCCCCCTGGCCACACCCAGTGCCCCCCGGCACTGCGGCCCCACGTGGTTGATGATCTCCGCGTGCTCGGGTGTGGCCTGACGCGCCGCCAGGACGACGACTGGGCGGAGCTGGCCGCCGGCTCCGGGGGCGGCGCCCGAGCCATGGGCAAGGTTACGGAGGCCTTGGGGGTTTTCGGCCAGACCTTGGACGAGGCCGTGGCCGCCGGCCTCGGGGTCCAAGAGGCCGGCGCTATGCTCCGCTGGACTGCGCAGGGCCTGCCGAACCACCTCCTGCGCGCGCAGCTCGTGGACCAACGAGCGGTGCAAGCTTTCGACTGCGTCCTCCGGCGCCTATGGGACCGCCTCCTTAACGAGACCCAGACCGACAGGGAGTGGGCCCAGGCTTGCTTACCGCTCGGAGACGGCGGCCTCGCCGCAGGAGCCGCCGAACCCCGTCGGGAAGCCGCCCACGTGGCCGCCTGGTGCGCCGCGGCTCCGGCTGTCGCGCGCGCCTTGGGCATGGGCAGCGCAGAGGAGCTCCTTGCGAGGCAGGCCACGGGCACCCAGGGCTTCGCCGACGCTGTGGCTGCCTACAACACCAGGGTGGGCAACGCGGCTTACTACCTCCAGGTCTCGCTGGCGCAGGGCGAACGGAGCAGACAGAAGGACTTGATGCTGCCCGTCATGGAAGTCCTTGGCGCGCGGGCTAGGGCCGGCCTGGACGACCGCGCGCTGGGCCGCCTTCTGTCCTGCGGAGGCCCTGGGGCAGGGGCTTTCACGCTGTTGCCTACGGCGCCAGAGCACCGGATGGCAACCGACCTGTACCGACTTGCGTTGCGGAGGCGCCTCCAGATGGAGGGCCCGCGGCTGCTGAAGGGTCATGCATTGCAGACGCACTGTCAACACACATCCCGTGACGGGGTGGTTTGCGGAGCTTTGCATGAACCCGATCAGCATCACGCAATCGCGTGCGAGAGGGGGCCCACGCGCACTGCGCGGCACAACCGGGTCCGCGATTTGTTAGCGCGTTGGCTTGCCAAGCGGGTCCCGGGCCTGGTGCAGACCGAACAGACAGTGCCGCAGTGGACGCGGCGGCGCCGGGATCCAGAGACTGGCCAAGATCGGATGGAGCTGGCGGTGCTGGACGTTAAATGGTCCGAGAAGGGCGTGTGCCACGTGGTGGACGTGGTGGTCACTAGCCCAGACAGCGCTGACGAGCGCGAGGAGAGGGCCAGGGCGGCCCACGCGGGCCTTGCTGCCGAGGACGCCGCACGGGGGAAGCAGCTACGCTACCCGCCTGGCCCAACGACGCCAGCCCTGACGCCTTTCGCCGTCGAGACAGGCGGGCGGGTCGGCCAGGCGGCCAGACAGCTCGTGCTCGACCGGCTGGACCACGCTGAAGGTGAGGCAGGGGCGAGCGCAGACGCCACTGCCTTTTGGCAGGAGCTCTCGGCCACGCTGCAGACTGCAGTGGCCGAACAGATCCTCGCCGCTCATAGGCCGCCGGCCCCAGCCGGAAGACGCTGAGCTGGGCGTGGCCTGGGTGTTGGCGGTGGTGGTTGAGGTGGTGCTTGAGGTGGAGGTTGAGGTGGTGGCGGAGGAGGAGGAGGAGGAGGAGGAGGAGGAGGAGGAGGAGGAGGCCGCGGACGCATCCAGCTTGCGGGCAGAGGGCGCGCTGCTGAGGTGCTTGGCGCCCGGAGGACGAGGGCCGTCGCGCCCGGGGGCTTGCCGGAGGATGAGGAGGAGGCAGGGGGCGGAGGAGGCGGAGGCGGAGGACGAGGTCGACAAGCGGGCCCCGGAACGCCCTGAGGCCAGCATGAGCGGTTGGCGCCGAGGCGCCCGGAGACAGGAGGAGGGGGTAGAGGCGGCGGAACCAGAAGAAGAAGAGGAGAAGCGGCCGTGGCACGGAGGAGCACGTAGAGGCTGAGGAGGAGGAGGATGAGGCGGAGGCAGAAACAACAACCACGTTGAGACTGATGAGGAGGTACAGGTAGAGGAGGAGACGGCAGCCATTCCAACGCCACGACACGATGACCGCCCCCCGCCCCCCGCCCCCTCCTTCCCCCTCCCGGGCCGCCCTCGCAGGTGTGTTAATTTCGCTTGTTCCACTTCCCCCCCAGCCTGGGTCAGGGGCCGTTGCCCGCAGGCCGAGGGGGTGTATAGTGCTGCTGGGACTGGACGGCGCCCTCACACGTCTGACCCCGGTGGCCACCCATCCTAAAGAGGGCTGGGTGCCGGGGTCGCGGTGAAGCTGGAGGAGGAGGAGGAGGAGGGGCTTCATGCACCCCCGCGTCTCCGTCGGCAGGCCAGGGCCTGGAGGGACAGGGATCGGCGGCGAGCGAGGGGGGGAAGTGAGAGGGAGAAGGCCTCCTCAGAAGGCAACGGACTTCTCAGAGGCCCTCGCGCCTTCTGAGAAGGTGTTCTTTGTCTTCGGAAAGGCCTAGAAAGCTTCTCAGAAGGCTGGGGGACTTCCGAATCTTCTGAGAGGGCCTTCTCCTTCTCGCTTCCCCCCCTCGCTCGCCGTCGAAGGGAGGGAGGGACGCAGAAAGCGATGTGGGGATCAGGGGATGTTGTGGAGGGGACGCCGAGGATGGGTCGAGGGAGAGGAAGCAGGACCGCACAGGAGACCATGCAGTCGGACCGGGGTATGAGGTCGAGGTCGGTTCGGGGAGGGTGCACTGTGTTCGTCGTTCTTGTTGGATGTGTGTTTGTGCATCCTGGGGGGGGGGTAACCTTGGATGTTCTGTGTGTTTTAGCCGACGGGGGGTCTCATGTTCTTGAGGGATGTTCTTCGGACCTCGGCCCGACTGCAGGACCTCCTGTTGCGAGCGAACGGTGTGCAGCACTTCGTTGTTGGGCTGCTCCAGTCCTTGATCAGTTGTTTGGTCGTGCCTCGACTCGTGCTTCGACGTGTACGGCCGGCTGTATTCGCAACACCGCAGTCTGCCTGGACGAGCGTGCTGATTGCAATTGCCGCGCTGCGACGTACAACGTGTACGGCCGTCTGCGCCGGACGGTTTTGGCGAGATCATGCGAATTGTGCGCCCCATGGGCACACACTCACAAGCACACCTTTCGTCCTCCTCCGAGATGGTGCAACTTCGACCAGTGAAGGTAAACGCGCAGATACACATATGTCTACCCTTATTCCTCTGCCAGTAGCTGGTGAGCGCAGTCTAAAGGGAGCTGTCAGCCTGCATTCAAGACCAGCCCCGACGGGCGCGTGCAGGGGCGGGCTTCTCAGAGACCGCCGGGACGAGACGCATCGACCACTGTTGGGACGCGCAGAGGGCGTCGCGAAGGCGTGTAGCCGAAGGCGGCGGGATCCTCGTCAGTGTCCGCGCTCTGGTGAGTACAGTCGGCCCAGATTAGTAGGTCGACCCTGCCAAATCAAGGGTACCCTTGTGTCCTGTGTCTCGCGACCCATGCTTCCTACATTCCTGTGGCAATGTGGCCCTCGGAAGGGTCTTTGTGTCCTCTCACGCGTCCCGTCCAAATGAGTCCGACTGTACCCGACCAGACGGCCTCGCCGCACGGACCAGTGCAGGCTGGATCTGCGCAGCAGCAGGCCGCTGTCGGCGGGAGTCCAGGTCAGCCGGTCGCAGCGGGCAGGGCACGAGCCGAGTGCACCGTGCTCTCGGGATCGGGTGGGCGGGGAGGTCAGAGAGAGCGAGCAGGAGTAAACGTGTCCCGCTGCGCGCCAAATCACAGCGCCGCGCGCCGACAGAGGCAAGGTCTAAGTCGGGTTTGTCCCTCTACAGGAGGAGTATTCAAAAATAATAAGAAAATAGTCAGCGGATTATTTTTTCAATCACATTTGGGCAGTTTGGGAGCATTTTTTAGAGTATTGCGAATTTTTCGCCCGAAATTCCCCTGTAGGGGGACAGGCCCGACCTCAGGCAAGGTCAGAAGCAGGGACATGTTTCCTCCGCCGGCGATGAGACCACAACGTCGCGATCGGATGCGCGCGGGGAGCGAGCATGCGGATGGCATCCCGCCCTGAGGATGGACGGCCGAACACCTTCTCCTCCGCGGGCGCTGCAACAACAAAGGTCGCGATCGAATGCGCACGGGAAGCGAGTATGTTGACGGCATCCTGCCTTGAGGATTGAAGGCCGAACGTTTTCTCCTCCGCGGGCCATGTGACACCGACGCACGGGGAGCGAGCATGTTGATGGCATCCCGCCTTGAGGATGGACGGCCGAGCGGCGTCGAGAACGGCACGGCGCATGGGGAGGGGGAGTCCCAACCGACCTGAAAGTATCCAAGACACACACGGCACCGACGAGTTCGTGAGACGCAGGAGTTGACGAGCCGCCAACATACGTATCCATATTCGCGCCCTCGCGGTCTGGATTCTGGGGCGCGATCCCGCGGATACGCGGTCTCATAAATACATTCCGCAGGGGGCATCCGCGAAAAAACGCCAATTGGATGCACAGGCAATCGAAGTAAACGTCATGTGCGTCATTAGCGGTAACAGAGACAGAAGCGGGGTGAGGCGATGGCGACAGAGAGCAGCACGCTTGCGAAGTGCGCTCTGGCCAACGCCAGCAGCACGTCAGCCTACAGTGCAGGTGAACGGTGCCGACTCGCAGCAGCGGGTGCTTGCCCAGGTGTGCCTGGCAGAGCGGTAACAGGGACACCCACACAATCAAGCATGTTCCTTATACTCATTATTCAGGCGATCGCAAACCTGGATCAAGGGGCGTGGATTAGCGACGGGGCCCGTGTCCGTGGGAAATCGCGGACTTCCATTGCCGAGCGAGGCGGCACCAGCCGCATTTTGGGGAGGGCACCTCCCCCGATCCATGTTTGTGCGCCCCCGAATTATGAGGAACATGTTAGTGTCAGTTCCTTCAATTCCGCAGTGGGTCGCAGTCGCGGGTTCAGCAGTGACGGGCTACACTCACGGTAAATGCAACAACCACCTCGTGTGGGCGCAGGAGGAGCAGGGGGAGGAGGAGGAGCAGGGAAGGGGGAGGAGGAGGAGCAGGAGGACGAGGGCGACGCAAAGAGGAGCGGCACCATGAAGGAGGAGGAGGAGGACGGCGACGACGACGAGAACGAGGAGGAGGATGGCGATGCACGTCCTCAGCCTCTTGCTAGCTTGGGAGCGTGGGCGCAGGAGGTGGGCAGGCACGGACATCGCGCGTTGTGCGCCTCGGCTTGTCTCCGTCGCCCAGGGCCCGGGTGAGGTAGCGCAGGAGGAGAGAGAAGGCAGAGGGGAAGCGTCGTCGTCGTCGTCGCCGCCGCCGCCGCCGCCTTCGCCTTCATCATCGTCGTCGTCGTCGTCGTCGTCGTCGTGGACGTCGTCATCGTCGTCGTCGTCGTCGTCGTCGTGGACGTCGTCACCGTCGTCGTCGTCGTCGTCGTCGTCGTCGTCGTCGTCGTCGTCGTCATGCTCGTCCAGAGCGCCCTGAGAACGGCGCGGCGGAGAAGCGGTTTCTGAGGGGCCAGCCCCAGAAGCAGCTTCGACGCCAGCCCTGCGAAGAGCGGCTCGGGGAACGGTGGCCACGTCCTGACCATCTCGACCCCGCACCCACCAGCGGAGGAACAGATACTTACTCATACCGCTACCCGTTCCCTCGTTTTCCCCCTTTTTGGGGGCTCTTAAGGAGTCCCTCGTCGCCACCGCTGGACTGGCCTCGAAATCCTGGTCAGAACGCACCCTGGGGGAGGTCTGGGGAGTAGCGGTACCGGCAGCGGCATCCACTCAGCGGAAAACACGCTGTTGCGGGAGTGGAAGAAGCGCAAGCCGCGCACGGTGTCAGAGGAACAAACTCATACCCCACCGGACGCGGCAGCCAGATACCGTCAAAGTGCGTAACACCCCGCAGTTGCGGATAAGAGTGAGGGGGCGGGCGCGGGTGACGCGGGCGTCGAGCCAGCGGACCTCGTGGCCCTCACCTTCCCTGTCGATGGCGCCCTCCTCCTCCTCCTCCTGCTCCTCCTCCTCGTCCGCGTCCTCGTCCTCATCGTCGTCGTCGTCGTCGTCGTCGTCGTCCGACCCCTCCTCCTCCTCCTCCTCTTCCTCCTCCTTTTCCTCCTCCTCCTCCTCCTCCTTCTCCTCCTCCTCCTTCTCTTACTCCCCCATCCCGATCCTCCCTCCTCCTTTCCGTCGTCGTCGTCCTCCTCCTCCCGCTCCTTCCTCCTTTCTCGTCGTCCCCCTCCGTCCCCCCCTCCTTTTCCTCCTCGCTCTCGTCGAAGGCCTCCTCTTCGTCCTCGTACTCGTCGTCGTCGTCGTTGTCGTCGTCGTCGTTTTCCTCCTCCTGCTCCTCGCCCAGCTCCTCCTCCCCTCCTCCGCGGAGCGCGCGCACGCGCCGGGGTGGTGGGGCGGGGCGGCGACGGCGACGGCGACTGCGACGGGTTGGGTGGGTAGGTGTGGATGAGCGGAGCTTGAAGAGGTCTTGGGGGGTTCGGACGGCATGCAGAATCCGCCGCCGCTCTTGTGCGGCAGGAGGGTCCTTGAGCGCCCCGAGGCCCCTTAATTGTGGGCGCCTTGAGGCAGCTCTCCCTGAATCCAGGCTTTGGACACGGATGCCGAATTGCAGCAGGCAGCTGGATTGTCAATGAAAGTGTTCAGGCACAGCCCCGCCGCAGGCGCCGATGTGCTGTTGTAGTGTCGACGTGGGCCAGGTCGGGGGAATGGCACGAGGGCGCTTTCCCAATCCAGTGTGAGCAAGCCCGCCGAAGGCGCCGATATGCGTGCTCAGACAAGTTCAGCGCGGGGGGGATCGCTGGTGGGCCACCCGGAACGAATGCAACAACAGCCCGCCGCAGGCGCCGAATTTTTGGTTTGCTCAGTGAGCGTAGTTTGGGTCGCGGGTGGGTCGCGGGCCCTGGAAGGAATTCAAAAATAGCGCGCCGCAGGCGCCGACAATTTTGATTTGTACACTGAACGCAGTTTGGGTCGCAGGTTATCCACCTGGAACGAATGCAAAAACAAAAAAAAAACGCCGCGGGCGCCGACGTTTTGGCTTGCTCAGTGGTCGTAGTTTGGGCCGCGGGTGGGTCGCGGGCTCTCCATCTCCACTTGGAACGAATGCGCAAACAAAAAAAAAAAAAAAAAACGCCGCAGGCGCCGAACATTTTGATTTGTACACTGAGCGCGGTTTGGGTCGCGGGTGGGTCGCAAGTTCTCCACCTGGAACGAATGCAAAAAAAACCCGCCGCAGGCGCCGAAACATTTTGGGTTGGTCGCGGGGTGGTCGCGGGTGGGTCGCGGGTGGGTCGCGGTGGGTCGCGGGTGGGTCGCGGGTGCGGTTTGGGTCGCGGGTGGGCCGCAGGTTCTCCACTTGGAACGAATGCAAAAACAGCCCGCGCGAATGTAAAAACAGCCCGCCGCAGGCGCCGAAAATTTTGGGTGGGTCGCGGGGTGGGCCGCGGGTCGCGGGGTGGGTCGCGGGTGGGTAGCGGGTGGGTCTCGGGGTGGGTCGCGGGCGGGTCGCGGGGTTGGTCGCGGGTGTGTCGCAGGTGGGTCGCGGGTGGTTCGCGGGGTGGGTCGCACGTGGGTCGCGGGGTAGGTCGCGGGGTGGGTCGCGGGTGGGTCGCGGGGTGTGTCGCGGGTGGGTCGCGGGGCGGGTCGCGGGTGGGACGACGACAACAACAAACAACAAACAATAACCACCACCAGCAACAACAATAATCCGCATCGCGGAACTCCATTTCAGCCACGCACCCAAGGGCAGTGAATGACCGTTCGGTTCAGCCCCTTCATTCTGATGCACATGGACAGAAACCACACACACACACGTTTACTTCCGCCGGCGACGGGCCACCACGGCTGCGACCTTCAAAGCGAACGCGCAGCGAACGCATGGACAGACACACAAACATTGGTTGGTATGCTCTGTCTCGTGTCGTCGATCGTCCCCGTGTGTTCCCAGTGCTGGCGAGTAAACGCGCAGGGAGCAGTGCTCCGCATGTTTTGTGTGGCGCTCACGTCGCGGGGCCGATATGACCGCGTACGTGTTTAATGTTGGGCCGCTATGTCGTTGCTTACGGTTCTGCTGTCAATCCCTCGTCATCTATCTTTCTCCTTGCCCCATTAACTGTCCCCCTCATTCGTTTTCTTTTCATGACCCTGCACCCGTCGGCTGCGTCTGGCACGGAGCGAAGGCGGTGATGGCGTTCAAGAGGGAATGGATGGTGCTCAACAGATAGGGGTGCGTCCTCTTGCGGGTTTCCTCCGACTGCTAGGTTCCCCCTGCTGTTCCTCTCGTTCCGTTCCCCCCCATCGCCATTTCTCCCCCTTCCCAGTCCTCACCTTCGCCCCTTTTTACGTAGCCTTCTCATCACCCCATCCCTGTCTCCATCTCTCCCTGCATTCCTCTACACCCTTCCTTCCATCCCTTCGCCTTCCCGCCTCTCCACTCCCCGCAAGGCCGCCCTTCCCTTATCCCCAACGCGTGCCTCGCAGCGGGGCGGTACCAAACTCCACCGGCACCTCCCGCCGCCTCGCAGCGGGGCGGTACCAAACTCCACCGGCACCTCCCGCCCTCCACCGCAGCGAGTCGAGCTGAACTTGGAGTGGGTGTTCTGTTTGCAGCAGGCCTGGCCGCCCCAGCTATCGTGTGTGGAGGAGGAGGAGCAGCAGCAGCAGCAGCACCAGCAGACGGGAAGTGATTAGACGGGAGCACTCGTCTGCATTGAACGAGATGGCGCGTCGTTCCTAGCTCGACAGCCTCGACAGCTGAATCTGGAAGATGAGTCCACCACGGATCGGAACAAGTGGTTCTCTTACGCTTCGGCGCAAGTGCAAACCGAAGAGATTTCGAACACAACCGCGAACGGCACTGCACTTAGTGGGCCACGGACACGGCAGGGCCGTTTCTTCACCGTTCCCTTGAAAATGGAAACGGCAACAAAAACGGCGACTGGAAACTGCAACAAAAACGGCCCCAGGATTGGAATCGGAACGGGAACCCGTAAAAGAACGGTGACGGAACTGGTAACAAAAACGGCGTCGGAACCGGCAAGAAAACGGCAAAACGGAACCAGTAAAATAACGGCTTTGTCGTTTCCAGGGGCCACTAAGGCGCTGCTTCTGCATCTCCGCTTCAAAAGCCTTATGCCTGGATGGGGGACTTGGCGTGGAGCTCCATGGGCGGCTGGCGCTCGTCGCCTTCCCTCCCGTTCTTCCCGGGCCCCCTCCCTGCTTTTTCTCTAACTCACGTGTGTTTTTGGGGGAGGTCCTCCAGCCCACAGGCGTGTTAGGGGAACAAAAAGGGACATAAAAATAAAAACTCGGAGCTCCGCGCGGGTTTCTCGGATCGGCGGTGGACCCCCCCAGGGGCGGCGCCGGAGGCGCCGCCGGGAGGCCCCAGCGCCGATCCGAGATCTCCGCGCAGAGCTCCGAGCTTCGGCCGCCTGGAGCCTGTCTCACCGCGCGCGTCCTGCGCAAGGAGGAGGTGGTGGTTACGCTAGGTGGTGTGAAAGCCTTTGCCTGACATGCCGTGTTGTTTTCCACGTCGCATGCGGCATTTCACCGCTGTTGCAAACCAGTGTCGCACAATTGCCTGCCGCCGCACCTGCCGTCACCCTCCCCCCTCCACGTCCCCGCTCATCATCAACTTCGGTCTCCCTCCCACAGGCTCTGCCGTCTCCGCGGCCGTCCCCCGGGGGCACCGCTGCGAACGCTCTGCAACCGCATGAGCAACTTGCTTCGATTCTGTTGCACGGTGCACCAGCCAACGGGCTTGGCCACACTGTTTCGACATGAGGCCCCGCGCAAAGTTCAGAATTGTGACCCTTTCTCGCTCCCCGCCCTTTTCCCTCCCCGTACCTCCCTCGATTGTGATCGCGAGGGCATCTGTGCGAGTGCCGCCCGCCCTTGCGCGTGTATGTGCTCTTGGCTAACCAGAGTATTGACGCTTCGCGTATCCCCCCAGCCCACCCAGAAACGATGCCCAGGCGAGCTGCAGTGGTCAGGGAAGTCTGAAAAAGTCTAGAAGCGGTGGAACAAAGAGGGGGGGGCAGCCGTGAAATCGAAGCTCTGGATCGTCCATAGCAGACCCAGGAGTCAACTATAAATGCTTTCTCTGATCTTTCGACATGAGAGCCTTTTGACAGCTTACTTGGGCCCTCTTGGGGATACCTTGGAGGCAGTTGGGGTTGCCTTGGAGCCCCGCTGGGGTCTCTTGGGGGCATTTCGAGCCCTCTCGAGGCCGTTTCAGAAGACGTTGACCGAATGAGTGGGGTTTGGTCTCGCCTCTCTGGAGCCCGAGAGAACGCCTCTTGTAGCCCTCTTGGGGCCCTACTGGAAAGCAGAGCACCCCCAAACGCGGGCAACGCGGATGGCGCCAAGCGTGGAAACCAGGCGGGCTCGACGAGGCGGTTCATGAGGAGGAAGACGAGGACGCTTAAGAGGAGGAACAAGGTCGATGTCGATGAGGAGGACCTGAAAGGTGTGGAGGAGGAGGGGGAGGCGGCGGAAGGGAAGAGGCTGCGGGAGTCAGGAGGAGCGCAGATGAGGTGATAGAGGAGGCAATGGCCACGCGGAGGAGGAGGTAAAGGAGGAGGTTGAGGAGGAGGAGGAGAAGGAGGCGATGGAGGACAGGACTACGAGGAGCAATACGAGGCGAAGGAGGACGACGTGGGGGACGGGGAGGACGAAAAGCAATAGAGAACCTTTTGACTAGGGTGAGGAGGAGAAGAGCGTCAAACGGAGGACGACGAGGAGGCTGATGTGCACTGCGAGCATGGGGAGCAGGTCGACAATGCGGAACAGGAGGAGTTCGTCGCGGTCGTCGTTTGGGCGAGTCGGGGTTCCTGGCCCCGCCGCCCGCTGCTTCCAGCGTTGCTCAGCGACGCCCAGAGCAGAATCGTCTGGCCGTTCTCTGCCCTTCTCCCTGCCGCGTGAAACCTGCCAGCCCCCTACATGGGCCCAAAAGGGGGCACGAAAGATGCAAGTTTCTTCCCCCCTAAGTGCGCGCCCCTCTCATTAATGAGCGCCCAACTCGCCCCGCCGCCTGCTTCGCCTTGCCTGGCCCTCTGTGTCGTCTGCCTGGCCCTGTCCCCGCTGCTGGCTTGCACGCCTGCCTTGCCCGCTCGCCCGCCTTGGCCCCCCCCCCTCCTGCTTGTCTTGCCCTCCCGAGATTCCTCTACCCCCACCCTCCTCGTCTTTCTCGTGTCTCCTCTGATCCCCGCTTCCCGATTCCTCGCGATGCCAAGCTCGTCTTCCTATCGACCCCAGCCGCCTCCACCCCCCGTCCTCCGCCTCTCCTGGTATGCTCCCTTGTCCCTCCCGCTTCGCTCCTCCTTCTTCGTCGTTGCCCCCCCCCCCCCTCTCCTCGGAGGGGAATGAGGAGGAGGAGGAGGAGAAGGAGGATGAGGAGGGGAATGAGGAGGAGGAGGAGGAGGAGGAGGAGGGGAATGAGGAGGAGGCGGAGGAAGGATGTCGGATGTAGGATGTAGGTTATCGGATAATGATGATGATGATGATGGTGATGATGATGATGATGATGATGATGATGATGATGATGATGATGATGATGATGATGATGGTGATGGTGGTGGTGGTGGTGGTGGTGGTGGTGTGGTGATGATGATGATGATGATGATGATGGATGATGATGATGATGATGATGTGAGGATGAGGAGGATGAGGATGAGGATGAGGATGAGGATGATGATGATGATGATGATGATGATGATGATGATGATGAGGAGGAGGAGGAGGAGGAGGAGGAGGAGGAGGAACAATGATGTAGGATGTAGGAGTAGGAGTAGGAGGAGGAGGAGGAGGAGGAGGAGGAGGAGGGCTCTCATGCCGCTATTCTCCTTGGGCGCTTCGGGCCTGTGGGAGGGGGGAGCTCAAACGAGGCCCTCCGCTCGGCCAGCGAGGCCCCGGAGCGGCGAGGCGCATAGGACTCCGACGATGCGCGGGCTTCGGGTGCCGAGCTGTCCCTGTTTGGGCAACGGCCTCGCGTTGAGCGCCCTCCAGGAGAGGTCCAGAGGTCGTCTTCGTCCTCGTCGTCGTCGTCGTCGTCGTCGTCCATCCACCCATTCCCCTTCTTCACCCCCTCCACATATCCTTCGGCAACTTCCCCTCGCGCCCCCGCCCATCCTCGCCCCCTCCCCCCCGCCCCTCGGCGGCGCGGTCCCTTTTTGGTCGGCGGCACTTCGCACTTCGGATCCGAGTCGCGGGCAGGCAGCGCTGGGAAGCTGGCGCAGCAAACTGCGGCACGGGGGGCACCTTCAGAACGTGAGTCTCTTCAGGTGGTGCCAGTGGCAGGCTCGCCCCCCAGCCTCGCCCCCTCCCCATCCTCGCCCCCCCCCCCCCGTCCTCGCCCCCCCATCCTCGCCCCTCCCCTCGTCCTCGCCGAGACCCTGGAGCTCACCCCCCCGCTGCACCGCCTCTTCACGCAGGCCTGGCGGCCCAGGGGGCCGCGCCCGTGGGCCTGAGGAGACGAGGGAGAGGCAGGAGTTCGCCAACTACGCGCACGGGGTAGGAGGAGGAGGAGGAGGAAGAGGACGAGGAGGAAGAGGATGAAGAGGAAGTGGAGGAGGAGGAGGAGTTCGTAGCCATTTTGGCTCAGGCCCCGTGGCAGCGTGCCAGCCCCAGGGGGCAAGCCACGACCTAAATTTCATTTCGATTCGCCACATCCCCACATTTGTACACCCTCTGCCGCACATTCCCTGAACCCTGATGCAGCTGACCTTTCACATCTGATGGATTCCCCCCTTTTCATCAAGCGCTACGCCAGCACAAGAGTGCACGGCCCCGGCATCGACATCAGACGCCCAAGCATACCAGTCGAACGGACAGCACCTCACATCGACTTCGACATCTGAGCAGTGCGCTTTCACATCCAACACGACTCCGACCACAGCTCCCAGCCCAGCGTGGCACAGAAGGGAAAAGGAACAAAGAGCAGCAGCGCGCACGCTACTACGTACTGTACCAGCAAGATCTTGAATGGACCAACCAACGCAGCAGCAATTACAAGCACCACCACGATTTCCCAACCAACACCACAGCGCTCAATGACCACCGCGCAACATGACAGAAAGCATGTACAACCAAATCGACGACGCATACGGGCAACCACCAGCACCCCAAACCAAAGGCAAAAGCAAGGGGAAATACCATCACCACCAGCAACACGGCAAAGGCCATAATACACCATGGCAACCAACAGGCCACAGGCTATGAGTCGCCAAACACGCAGGCTTCAAACTACAACCCAGTCCGAATCACACAGCCACACAACCATGGCAATGACCACAGCTTGCACGCAACATGCCCGTTCCAACACGACTACAACCAAAGGATGCCCACCACACCAGAGCCCAACACGCACCAGCGACAATACCAAGCAAATGGCGACCTGACAACCAACAGCCACAGCCCAACTTCGGAAACAACGCTGACCACACAGCATTTATCAACAGAGAAACCAAGGAGATCATTGACAGCAGCCCATAAGCATTTTACTACGACGTGCAGAGCAATGGCCGCCCAGGCAGTGCACCTTGACGTGGGGGCATGGATTTCGTCGAAAACTTCTAACAACAGGAAACTAGCACCACAATGCTCGCAGTCGAAAGGGCGGGCCAAAAAGCAGACCGCCTACGACGCGAATTGGCAGTTGCTAAAAGACAGCTGGTCGACCAGAAGCCGCTGCACGAACAGTTGCAATACATGCCTCACTTCGAAGACGACTACGCAGCATGCACCAAGATCTCCGAGGCCACGCCCAAGCAGACATAGCAACGACGCGACGACAACCTACGACTCACCAAGAACTTCGCAACTATCGAGAAGGAGATCAGCCAGTCACGCCAGCACACACCGAGCCCACAACCAAGCCACAATTCCTCACCCAGGGTTCGAGACATCCAACCCAGACAGCATTCGCAACAACAAGCGCCACTACGACCACTTAAGCCAGCAACGCCCAGCCCACGTGCATCGGAGGACGTTGCCCGGCTCGAGACGCTATTCAAAAAGGCGCTCGACGACTTGCACGCCAGCGACGCACTCATGCAGAAAGTAAGGCTGACCCAACGGGGCAACGCCGACGACAAGCCATCGCAACGTTGACTTAAGAGCGCAGAAGACCATGCAACAATTGCAAACAGCAAGCGACTACCTCTCAACCGACTGCCACATCGCAAGGGAGCAACTATTAGCAGTGCAAACCTCCGGGCAGAAAAAACCATTCGCGCAGAAGGGCTTCCAGTGCGACGCGTAGCCAACGAGGGCGAGCACGCGCAGCTCACGCCGGCCCGAGCAATGCAGAGAAACCCACACATTGAAGGAACCAATCACACCGCAGATGCTACATCCGAATTACAGCACATTTAATTAAAACGCGCCAAGACATTTAGACGACCGAGCCACAGCCCGCGCGCGGCGCGGACATATAGAATAATAATCCATGGCGACCAGTGCAGAGCCGCGACTGGAGCTACAGCAAAACGCGAGCCAATTGCAGCACAACCGCTACACGAAGCCTACCAGCGCCAAAAGACACCGACTCAGCAAAGAGAACAACGCCACTCAACAACTCCACAACCAGTATCAGGCACAACAAGCGGCGCCAGTGCGAATACAACCACCATGCATCAACACGGCCGAGCAACGAATGCATCTACTAGAACAAGGCCTGCAACAAGCAGCGACCACTCGACGGCGGCACGAGCAGCACTTGCGAAGACACCAAGGACAGCGCGCAGAACAGGAAGCGCAGAGAGAACGCGCGCAGGCAAACATCGACCCACAAGTATTAGCAACGCGAGAAGCAGCCACGACGTCGCAACAACTACAACACAACGAGCCCACGATACTCGCAATCTACCGCGCAGAGACAGCGGCCAGGATCATCCTTGGCAGCGCGGAAGCAAACCTGCTGACCGCCAACCGACACTACCAGCGACAACTGACCGCGGCCGAGCAGCACGGGCAAGACACAGCAAACCAAATCTGACAAAAACAGCTCGAACTTGAGAGATGCGAGGAAGTGCGAGCGCAGTCTGAGCAATGGCACAAACTGAGACAAGCAGAACTACAACAACTAGTGCGACAAGCACAGCCGCGACACCAGCTGCCAGCGCTGCCCGACGATCAATACCTAGATGAAGACGAAATAATCAACCAACTCGTTGATTTAGAGCGCGGCATCATCGACCAGCAGCAGCAGCGCGCGCAACAAGTTCAGCGGCAACAGGCACAACCCGCAGAGGCGATATAACGGGCGCGAGACCAACTGAGCGATGCCATCGGTGACGCAATTCCAGAGATCACAATCGGAGACGACAAGCGCATCGCGCAGCGCGACGAGAGCGCGAGAGAGCCGACCGAACCAGCGCGCGCACGCGCCGACGTGTTCGTCGACCCCACCCGGCAGGCACTATATGCACCGGCTGAACCTGCCCCAATCGCGCAGACGGACCTTGCTGCGCCCGGAGCACCGAAGGCGACGCGCACGCGGACTAAGTTCGCAAGCGGACAGGACTCACTACCCGACGCGGTATAATCCAGAGCTGCAATCACGCGCGACATGACCACTGGTGACGCGCCAAGATACTTCAACACCCCCCAGCAGCAAGAGGTAGCGGCGCAATGCGACGCACTGCAGCCAACAAGAGAATAAGTTGATTCCTTACAAAGAAAGGTCACCATCCGTGCCTCGGCAAATGACAGGCCCAAAGCCGCGCAATCACTTCCAAGCAGCTCACCCCAGCACAATCCACGGGCATCACTACAACCGGCGCCCGTGCCAGATTTTCCAGAAGCGGCCAAGGCCCCCGACAACTGAACCTCGTCTCGGCTCAACGGTTAACAAATTTCACCCGCGCTGCTTCAAGTTCAGCGCCATGCGAACCACTTAGTGGACATGATTACACAGAGCAGAGACCTCAATCCTAGCATGCGCGCGCGAGCGGCTTGTTTGGTCGCAAGTTATGGAGATGTTGAAAGACCGATGGGTTCGTTTAGAATTCGCAGGAGCGCGAGTGCCATTGTTGATTGAAAGCCCTCGTTGCGAACCATGTGTTTCATTTGTGTTCGGGGCATTCGATTTTGAAGCGCCTGCGGAACCTTGGGTTTTCGAATGATCTCAGCGCGCGCGCGACGACGCGCGCGCGTGCACTTCGCCTGCCTTTTTCGCAATGCATGTTTGAAAAAACGAATGATCCGCGATGGCGAGCGCGCGCGCGTAATCGTTTGTTTGCAGAGGGTGGCGGGGGGGGGGCGTCGATTCTGGCCTGTTTTGGATGATGTGCTTTCGCGTTCAGGATGGGCGGTGGGGCGGAGTCACATGTAAACATATGTAAGTTGCAATGCGAAATGGGGGGCGGTTGAAACCGGAGGGGGGGGGGGGGGGGGGGGGGGGGGTCGTATTCTTTCGGGCAACAGAATTCACTTATGCTCGCAGTGAGTTGTCAACGCCTCGCTCGCCCGCAACTCGGTTTGCAAAACCCGTGCGACGGCGATTGCGACGAGTGCATGGCGTTAGCTGGTGCATCTCTGCGGCCGCACTAGCACGCGCGTGCTCGCGCGCGCAGCGGCCAGCTTGTGCGGCGCGACAGACGCGGCCGCGGCTGCGCTGACCTCGGGGCACTTTCCAGCGGGCACTCGAGTGCGAGTCGGCGACCTGGGCGGGCGCGGCATCATGGCGACGCGGACAGCGGTAGACGCGACGATGGACTAGCGATGGTGGTGGCGATGGCGGCCATGACAACCGCGGTGCCAATGGCGGCGCGGATGCTGGTCGCGCCCGCTGATTGCGACGACGACGTCTTCGCGTCGGCGATGAAGTTTTTGGCGCGAATTCGACACCCGCGCGGCCGACGCGCGCGAGTGGCCCGCGCGGCATTATTTGACGCGGGTGGCCCCCCCCCCCCCAGCGCGCGCAGGAGCGCTCGAGTGATTCCGACGCGCGGCGCGAGGCGCCCGACTGGCAGAGCGCAGCGCGAATGTTAATTAAAGACGAGAATTTATAGTTGCCATGAGAATTCGCAGGGGCGCGAGTCGGGCACGTTTGAGAACTGATCGTGCGCGACCATATTTTCATATGTGTCCGGGCATTCGATTTTGAAATTCTCGCGAAGCCCAAGGTCCATGAAGGTTTTCGGCGCGCGCGCGGCGACGCGCGCGCGTGCGTTTCCCGGATTTAACGCATTGGGTTCTCGCGACAGCACGCGCGCAAGGGCGCTCGAACGATGTCGAGGCGCACGCGCGAGAGGCCCGCTTGGCAGATGCAGACGTGGAGTGACGGCTTGGAATTGTGATCAGACATCGCGAGATTGCGAGTGCAGGTGCGTTTCAAAATGCCGTTGTAAAGCCATATATATATGAAATGTTCTGGGCATTATATTGAACATCCCGGCGGCGCGCGCCCGCGACGGCGCGCAGGCGCGCG